TCATATCATAAAAGAACATATAGAATTTATATTAAATAAGGGAGGCCAAGGATCCATACTAAAAAAAGGGTGAAAAATTTAAAACCTGTAGTTATAATAGCATGCTTGGAACCTATGATAAAATTAAAAATTTAATTTACATTAATTGTAAAAAATAGGTATACAATCCATTGAATTTTTTTAGAATTTTAATTCAAAAAAATAATACTTTTGTAAAAAAATTAAACTCATTTTAACGTCAATTTCTCTCTATTATCTTCCAATATATCTATGCATGGCATGGGTGTAAAATCTAGCTTTTATATCATTTAATATAATAAATAAGAAAAAGCTTAGGTACCTAAACTTATATATTTGTTGTACTAATATCTAATTAAATTAAATAAGTGGAGTATATGACATTGAAAAAATATCAAAGTTCAATAATAAAATAATGATATCAATGGAGTTAGATCTAGTAGGAAGAGCTAGTCTTTCATATCATAACGAACTAAAATTTGAATGCTCATTATGAGATGTACCTGCATTTAGCCATGGCTAATATTAAAATTAATAAATCACAATATATTAGGCGGTTCAATAATTTTTGCCTAAGTTGCCAAAATTTCTTGACACCATCTTGATTAGCAATTGGACTAGGTTTTGTAACAAAAGAATAATATTTTTGCCGCGTCATATATATGAAGCACTAAGCATTAAAACGTGAAGTAATATTGGCAGGTTCAAATCATTTGATAAAAAAAACATTTTTTTTGTACTGGTGGATACTCAAAATGTTTTTTTTTTCTTTTGTTAGCTACATGTATTTTTTTTATTGAAGATAATTTTATTCAAAATACAATCAGATATTAAAGGTGAACACTTTTTTCAATAAAAATTCAAATGTTAGTTGATCATTTTATGGGGAACTAACCTTTTTAATCAAATTCAAATTCATATTGGTTACCCACTTTAAATGTTGACACCTCACTAGTTGCGTTTTCAGTTTCAATATGAGGTGGCCGCAACGTGTTGGCCATGCGTCTTGCAACTTGCAACTTTGATTCGGAAGTTTTAGCATTTAACATTGGATGACATGACAATGATATTTGTTTGTAAGGAGAATGATAGTTAAGTCTTAAAAAAAATTAATGATAATTAGTTTTTATAAAAAATTTTAAAAAATATGTTGTAAATATAAATTCAAATAAATATAAGTTTAGGAATTATAATTGTAAATAAGATATTTAAATTTTAGATGTAACATTTCAATTTGATTTGAGATCTTTGTCTACAACTGTCTGAATTAATATTTATAATTTATTTTAAAAAAATTATTTAAGATCTAATTGTTATTTATTACTTCTTTTGTGAATTTATTGCCATTCTCCGTTTGCTTGAATTCAAATTTTTTCTTGTCAAAAAATCTCTTTTGAGAATAACCTAGGACTCTTTGACCAAATCTAATTTATTCAAGTCTCTAAAACTATAAAATTTCACTGCATATGTGAGAGGTTGAAACAAAATTAAAGAGCTGGTTTAAAATTATGAAGCTAGATGCATAGACAACTCATATAAAAAAAATTAATAATTGATATATAAAAAATGAACAATTGATATAAGCAGAATGAGAGTAGCAAATTCATATAGTAGTGTTATGTTATTAATGAGTGTTGCAAACTCTATCTATATTAATTATTTATTTTTCATACATTAATTGTTAATTTTTTTATATGAGTTGTTCATTATCAAGCTTCACTAGGTAGTCAATTCTTTAATTTTATTTCAGCCCTCACATGTGTAGTAAAATTTCAAAATTTAGGGGTTTTGACTTATATTAAGTTGAGTCATGGGGTCTTTACTAAAATTTTCCCAAGTACTTTTTATTCAATATATCCCCCAACTTACTTAGTTATCACTTCGTCCATCTTAATATATGAGACATTTTTGGAAGTTATTTTGTGTCAAAGTATAATATTCCATTATTTATACTTTTTTTTGCCACCAAAAAAATAATTATACCTGTTTCAATGTTAGCCTTCCCTCCTTATTATATTTTTATTTCTAATTAATGTCTCACAAATAAGATAATATTAAATGAAGAATTTGTTTTAGAATTTTTTTTATTTTAAACAAATAAAGTTAAAAATATATTTAATGAATTTTATTGACATTCATAATTTTGTTTAAAAGCATCTTATAAATTAAAATAGAGGTAGTTCATTCCAATTTTTTCTCCCAAATTTTTTTGCACGTTTGAAACATTTCATTTTTGACTTGTAACGTGGAATAGTTTCTCACCAAGATTTTACAATCCTAATTAAGCACGAACAAACCATAGAAATAGAAAATGGTGGGGATGAAAACCTTGTTTTGAAAATTCCACCTCCCAAAATGCTAATGGAAAATGTGAGAGAAAATGAAAGAGTCTATCGCATCGCATTCTTCGGTGCATTAATAACAGTGGTCCACATGGCAGAACGAATACCTCTATTGGTTATCAAACAGAGAGGTGGAAAAATATCTGTGAAAGTATTTTTTTTTTTGGACCAATTTTGTGAAAGTATTTAAAGAGAGAGAAATAATAATTAAGAGAGAAGAGTAATCTTGGAAAACTAATCATTAATAAAAAAAATTTCAAAACATATATTCTGAAAAACCAAAACATATTTTAAAAATTTCTTATAAAATTGTGATTAGATTAAGGGTTGTTTGTTTCAACTGATTTTATAAAAAAATATTTATTATTTTAAAAAATCTATTTTGTAAGTTTTATAATATTTATTTAAATTTTTAAAAATAATTAAAATTCAAAAAATATTTTAATTATTTTTTCTAATATTAAGATATATCATAACGCTAATAAGTTGATTCAATATCGAACCATCAATTTTCTAGCCTTAAAAATGCAGTCTTTCTCGATATTAGAATAAGATTTTATCCTTTAGGAGCCATACATGTACCTTTTGATGCATCTGGTTCACCAAAAAATGTGAAAAAGAATTAATATGTAAATGTTAACTCTCTTTCTTTTGTATAGTAGATTTTTTTGAACTTCTAAAAAAATATCTTTTCCTTACAATTTTCAAGAAAGATGGCTTTTGGCTCATTTATATAAAAGAATGTTTCAAAAATGTAAAATGCGTGAAAATATTATAAAATTTTAATATAATTAAATAATAAATTATTTTTATAAAATGAAAATCAAAAAGATATTATAAAATTTAAAAAGAACTAATTAATAATCACTTTTTATTATTATAACCAAATCTAAAACAATGTCTGTTTTTTTATAAAATCTTCATAAAATAAATCTCTCTTTGTAAAATTTCTGAACTTTACAAAAAATCACTTATTTTATAATCTTAAACAAATGGCCCTAACTCTCAACACTTGTTTAATTGGAGATAACTCATACGCTCACACTAATCTGGATTAATAGAATTGCATCATATTTAAGGGTCGTCGCATGATTTATTAAAAGTTTTAACTTCTCGTAACTTACTTATCTTATAATTAGGAAAGCAACTTACAAAGATGCGTAAATAAGCTCACCTGAAGAATTTTAATACAAATAACTGTAATTTCCTAGAAAATACAAAATCAACTGAGAAACTTACATATTGACTTTTCAGGATGTATCCTAGGAAAGCTATATTTTTTCAAGAAGTTAACTTCTCATGGAGTAATGCAAATGAACCAAGTGAGCACTTAATTTTTAAGAATCAATTTTTAATGACTAAATCAACGAAATAGAAAATAATGTTAGTCTCAACTCTCATGACTCATCTCATAAAATTTATAATTCCACTCATTGGCCGATTCATGACCTTTCATTGGTTGGGAAACTTTATATAGAAGTGTCAATTACATTCAAATTTACTTTCAGCTCATATATTTTATTTACACCGTAATTACACATAAATTGCATAAGGATTAGAGAAAGAATACATAAAAATCATATGAAAATTGTATGGAGATTGAACAAAAATTATATAAAAGTTACACTAGTTTGTAGTGAGTTTACATAAAGAATCATTTTTTTAAACAAAAAACTAAAACCAATTTGTAAATTACAAATTTTAATAAATCAGTGTGGGCAAAATATCATGTTTACCATATTTGCATATAATTTTTGTTTTTTCAAGTGAGAACCAGCATTCGCCCATCTTCAAAGTAACTCACAGTAGTAACATGGGTCTGCAATGATTCCAAGAGTTATTAGGTGGTGGCATCCTTGTTTAAAATCTTGAATTAATTTTCTTTCATAAAATAATTCATACTTTTCCTAAAATCTCTCAACAGTAAATCATTTTTATTCATATCTAAATAATTTGAAAATGAAAATTATAATTTTTTTAATTTAAACAAACGGGAGGCCTTAAGCTTAACTTCGACTCCCAACAATCAGAAAGTAACAACACAAAAAAAAAAAACAAAAACAAAAACAAAACAAAACAAAAGGAAAAAAAAAACTGAAAATCCATCTGAATTTAGAGGTTTTCCGATTATTGTCAAATTCCTTGATCTCAAATTCGCTCTATCCTCACTAAAAGATACATAAATATAAATTTGAAAATAAATCATAATATTAATTTTTTTTTGCCTGAAAAATCATAATATTATTGACACATTTAAATGTGTGAGAAGTCCACAAACCAAACAAGTTTTCCAAGTTAGCCTGTTATGGAATAACCCAAACCCAAAATAGCACTCTTCAATTTTTTCGAGTTTCAATGAAGCAAACCCAGAACTGAAGAAATGCTTTTATATGTAAAAGATAATATATAATTACAGATTAATTTAGTTGATAAAGCTTTAACCTATAAATTATAAGGTAGTGGGTTTTTCAAATGTGGGAACCTTATTGATAGACAATGTGCAAGTACCTCTTTTATGCTCTTTGAACTCAGAAGCATATCCCAATCTTAGTGAATTGCAATACTCAATTCACCTAAAGTCCTAAACTTCTGTTTACACGAAAAAACACGGATTGAAGATTAAGCCCAGCAAAGAAGGGGTGTGGTTAAGATATAACTTCTGAGATTAGGCTTCAAGAAAAGATGACACGTTTCCAGTCCTATCATACATGTACATGATTCTGTCATGGGGCCACGATACAAGAAAGTCTACCATTTAAAAAATAAATAAAAATAAGTAAGAGCTTTCACTAACTGGAAACTTGTAAGTTATAGTACAAAAAAGGATTAACTCAAATCCGCATTCGTTTTCTTTGACTACCCTCTTCATTAGCGTCCTGCATACAGAGAGAGAAGATAGATCAGAAGAAATATTTACTAGAGACAATCTCAAGCACTACGCATTTTCATTATTTAAAAAAAAAAAAAAATTGGAACACCATGCATATCGGTTGAATTCAGAAGCTTATAAACCATGGTGTCCCAATTCCTTTAACATGTTTCGTAGAAGTAGTGCAGACTCATGCTAAGATTAAATATATCAGTATCTCAAGCACTGGAGTCTTGGAAACCGAAAGCCTCATAACCAACAAAAATAGCAATAAGAGACTTCAGACATGGTCAAGCATGGAAAGATTAAACAAATAGTTTGAATTTCTTGTCCTCTACTCATGCCAATTGTCTGTGAAACACAGAAACTTCATGTGTCTTGACGCCAGGCACTGATGCTGTCATGAAACAGAGTCCCATGTTTCGACAAGCTTTGTAAACAATATACATGCAGATACAATTTGGGTATGTGCCAAACATGGCTGACGGACATCCATTAAAAAAAAAATTAAAAACTGATTCTCTATTTTTATAATACAGTATAATATAATTGTTTTTCTATAAAATCATGTCAAAAAATAAAAATTTTGGCACATTAAAAAATGATACATACCCCAACATCTGTTGTTTTATTTTGCTATTATTATTGCTTTCTTTTTGGTGAAAACAAGTGAGTAAAATGTCCGTGTCATGTTGTATGCCTGTGTTTCATAGTCAAATCTCACATGTCCGGCACAATTTGGTACATTTTCAGATACAACTAGGATCGGCAGCAGGAGCATTGATGGCCCTGTTTCCAAATATGGCAGAAGACTACATGATTACTTAAATTACAAGGTACTGGAACTGGAAGCCTTCGCTGATAATCCTGAACAACAATGATCAATCTAAAAATATTTCCCAAGGTTACAAATATTTGACACTTCGATTCTTGCCTCCTTGGCATAAAAACTTCGGACAAGCAATATCATTCTAAAGATAAACACTGCAATAATATTAAAAATGGAATAGCACTAGATTATAACTACTAGGAGGGTAGCAGAGAAGTAAGAAAAGAGATAGTTACCCCGTCATCCTGTCTAGATTCTTCAGTGGGAACAGCACTAGATTCAGATCTGCATTTAGAATGAACAATTGGACCTAACTGCGACCTATCCATGTCTGCCACTCCTCCCTTGGGCGCATTTAGGTATACAGCTCCTTTAAACATCCATTCCTCAGTTTCATCACTATAAAACTCTTCAAAAGGCTCTCCACATAATGCACATGTATTCTGATCTTCATCAGCTGGCACAACCATCTCTTCATCTTCTTTATTTTCCTCCATCGTTTCAGTTGGCAAAAAACCAGGTACTGCTTCAGTTCCCAATGCCTCCGCACCACTAAGCCACATTCTCTCACTCACAAACCACTTACGAGAAGGCTTCTGCTTACGACTTTTAGACATCCGATTCTTAGTCACATGCCAATCCATATGACTACTGTGCTCCTCTTGACACTTGAATCGGAGGCCACAAGTTGTGCATTGTCGAGGGAGGTCAAAATATAAAGCACTAATTGCAGACTCATGCCGGATCTTCAGAATATCTGGATTAAACTCAGTTCCAACAGAATCCTAGAAAAATAGATAACAAGATAACTTTATTTAGCTATAATCATAGACTACACAACAAAGTTATCATTGCATGCAGGTCACAACAAACTTGAGTTAAATACCTGAACAGCGGGTGGTCCAATCAATGAGATCAAACCTTGTGCCATAAGTGAATTGATAAGACCAGAAAATGCACCAGCTGGCTGTTTAGTTGAGGTATAAGGACTATCATTTGTATGAGGCATCACTTGTGATGGAGGGCAAGGACCTGAAAATGAAGGAGGCAAGGCTCCCTGCTGCATAGGAAAAACATTTTTTCTGATGTTTTGGACTGGTAAAGGAAACTGTCCAATAGGTAACGACATGGACACAGTTGCACTGATAGCAGCACCATGTCTTTGCAAAGAACCCCCATGACTAAATTGAGAAGCTGCTGGAGCTTGCAATTCAGAATAACTTTCTCGCACATCCTGAGATGGAAAAGTTTGAGGTTGAAGTGCTTGCCCACGGTTTTGCGGGTTTGATGAAATTAGCCCTGATAGCTGATTAGGAATCTGCCGAAATGTTAATTTACTAATATTACTGTTCTCATCACTATCCAACAGCTGTTCAGGCATGAATGAAGATTTAGTAGGACCTTGATCTAAAATGGTGTTACTACTATTTATTGCTTCAAACTGACTCCTAACATGTTTCTGCAATGAAAAAATAGGATTTAAGGAGGGTGGACGAGTAGCATGCACATTTACAGGGGGCCTGGCTCGAAAAGATGCAGGTAAAGTTGGTGGACGAATCTCAAGCCCATATGAGCTTACTTTAGTAATCGGGATGCTATCAATATGAGACAAATGAGCATTCCTTGCTCGACCTCTAATATTAACAAGGTGATGTGAAGAGTTAGGCAAATGATGTGAAATCTTCAAGGCATCATGAGGAGGATGGGAGCCCAGACCATGATTTAAGTGATTATGCAATCCAGTTATCTGACCTAATGATCCGCCACCATTCTGCACAGAATATTCGAACTATCACTCAACAGTAAAATATTATCAAATTCACTTTCAAAGGGAAAAAAAAAACATATTGCACTCCATGATGATAATGAAACAGTGCAAGCTAATTAGTTAACTCTAATACATGAGGACAAGAAGACTGGCCCACAAAACAAATCATTACTCTAATATATGACCAAAATTTATTTATCATCAAAAAGGGGGCAAAAAGGATATTGCCACTAGGCATGGTTGTGAAGATTGGATCTTAACCATCAAGACCATAAGCTACCTACCATGAGGACCGACTAACATTCCTATGTAAGATCATTTTGTTGTATGATCAGATCAGTATCTTTTCTTTCCCCCGGCTGAACACCCAGTTTTGCCTTTTCCCAAGCCAGAATATCATGTTTCAGACACTCTCAACACAAAACCCAGCATCAAAGGTTTTCCCCTCCCCTCAAACTCATCATACCAGCCCTTTCTTGCATCCACAAACACTGGATCACAAGCCAATTCCCTACCAGCAGCCATTCAATCAGGTTCACCAGCCCAAGCCTGTGACAATATTTGTCCTCTCTTACTGCAAAATTTGTCCCTTTTAAATTTGCTCTGTGCTACCTTATAAAGAGTCATCTACTACTTCATTGAGAAATTGGATTTCTAAGAATCCTTAATTCATAATTCTAATGAATTATCATGTTTATCCTGTAAGTTGTGGCTTTTGAGATTTATGACTTAAGTTTGATATGAGATCTTCTTGAAACCTATGGCATTTATAATGAACCAATATAGGTCCCATGCATTGCACAGAATTTGATAAGTCACATTGTTCATGACTCATAAACAATGCAGCTTGCTATAATTTTTTATAATATATATAGATATAGATTATTTGATTTTCAAGTATCATGCTTATCAATGAAATTAAATATAATTTTAAAATTAACCTTTTATCAAAGTTTACAATTCAATCCAACAATTTCATCTCTTCAGCCCTTGGTCAATCCTATGCATAATGACAATCTTGACAATCATGATGTTAGTGACATATGTAAGACCAAAGAAAAAAAAAAACTGGTGGACTCACGCCTGCACGAATGAATGCCAAATATCTAACCTAATTTAATTTGGGCATCCACAACACAATCCTCATAACCAAGGAATTATCAGGGAATTAAGATAAGACGCATCAATTAAAAACAAGGTCATGACATGAAAGTAGAGGAAACATACATCCGGCAACACAAATGCATCTTCTGCTATAATAGAAGAATCATTCATGAGAGGAAGCTGAGATTGACTAACCCAACCGCTTCTGGTATCTTGACCCAAAGCAGCAGTATTAGCTGCAACAATACCACTAGATCTTTCCCTAGACAAAATAATTGATGATGGTAAGACCCCATTACTTCTCTTATGCTCTACTAATGTTGGACTCATATCTTCCCAATTAAACTCCTCTTCTTCAGTATTCTGCCATGATGTTGACACCACCTTGTTGTCTATACCATTTATGTCAAGTGGTTCAACCAGCGGCTTATTGCTTGAAATTTCAGTCCTTTTGTCACTGCCATAAGCATCAATGAGAGCTCTTGGATTTTGGCGTTGATGTCCATTTGTGGAAAATTGAAATTGACTCAGACCATCACCAGAATACTGTTTCCCATGCCTGCTTATTGAAGCTTGATGCATCTTATTAGCTCCAACACCAAAATTTGTATGTTCCATGCTTCCTGTTGAATCCAACATTTCACCCCCATCCTGAGAGAAAAAACCAACCTTGTCAAAATTCATATCCATAATGACATTGGTTCCCAAGTAAAGATTGAAATTGTTTCCATTGCATGCTGAATATTTAGCAGTAATTACTATAAAACAGAAAGCACACAACTCCTCACTGTCCTAATCCCTGAAAAAAAGGACTTGGGAACGTACAGAGAAGAAACAAAGGATGATAAAACGTGGAAGAGCTTCAAAATGCCCCAGTCGTCAGTTAGAAAACCTAGAGTCAGCAGCAGAGATACTTCAACACTTGTATAAAATGCAGTCAGTCATAAAAAAAGAAAAGAAAAATCTTTTCCCTGCCAACAACGTACACAGTGGAGACATAGTGATGTAAAATACAAACACTCACGCTCACACTGATTTGAACAGAATAGGATAAGGGAGAAGAAACAGAAACAGAGAGTGGGAGGTGGAGGGGAAGTGAGAACAGAGAAGGTGAAAAGAGAGAGAAGTAACTGAAATATGAGAGGGAGAACAAAAGAGAGACACAGAACTGAGAGAGAGGGAGCTTTCAAAAAATCATAATGCTTCAAACATTCATTGCCTCCTGAATACACAAGTCATGCTATTTATAAGCATGAGGTTTCCTCTTAACAAGGAAATGTCCACTTGCTGCCTAGTTTCCTTCACAAGAAGGAAACTTACAAAAATTTCTTCCTAACAAGGAAATGTCCACTTGCTGCCTGGTTTCCTTTACAAGAAGGAAACTTACAAAAATTAAATAAAAAGCAACAAACTAATAAACTAATGAAAAGCAATAAGAAGTAATAAATTATTTCCTTCTAAAGTAATATTTGCCATATTTTCTATCACATAGTATTAAGACCCCAAAATTGGCGGCTCATCGTCAAAATTCCAACTGTAGAGGATTTCACAATACCAGTTTGTAGGAAGAATAATTGGGCCATAAACAAAATAAGAAAATGGGAACATACAGAGAAACCCTCGGTCTGAACTATTGTAATGGAAAGTTTCACTGGAATTATTTCCCTTCACATGTACACAATACTATTAGTGAGAAAACGACAATTGATTCTTTACCTAATATACAAGCTGCAGTCAGTCCCTGCAGCATTTTGAAAAGAAGAGAAAAGTTTCATCGAAAAGCTTACAGTGTCCATGGTTGAGTTTTCCAACTGCCGCAGGTATTTTGGATTAACATGAATGCCATGAGTTCGCTGTGTAGCTTCAGACACCCTAGGGGGATTAATGCTAGATGATACATTCTGATTATTAACTGCTTGAGAAAAACGCAGCTGCACTTCAATCTTGCGAAGGACAGAAGGTGGAAAGACAGCTGACCAGGTACCAAAGAGATGACGCATTGCATGATGCAAATTAGGCTGGACTTGCCGATATGCTACACAGAAGACCTTCAGAAAAAATAGAACCACAAGTTTTAAGAACAGAATAAAATAGTTCACCAATTTAACCCAAAAAAAAAAGTACATATTTCACAAATATAAATAATAATGTAACTCAAACCAACTTACTTCAGGAAGACGTGAGGAGAAGTATCCAACATACTCCCCACCAATATTCTTCACAATACTGTCTAAAAGATACAGTGAAGGAAGCTTGTGCTCCGAAGGCACCTGGCAAAAGGTGATTTAAAAAATGAAGGTTCCATTCAAGCAGTGGCAGAAAGCCAGACATAAAAATTGCACAGGGGAGGTTAAAATGGCAACTGACATGATAATTTTTCGCTAAACTATGTAACATAATGAACTAAATCACCAGAAAAGTAGACAGACTCTTTGCTACAATATCAACAGCAAGTAGATGCACCATTGGATAACATGTTTTAAGGCACTCTAAGAATGTGTTTCCTGGCTTATGTAACTAAACACCTCTTCATTATGAATTTTGCATAGCCAATTCGTACAAGGCCCTAAGATGATAGCACTGAAATCTGTTTCTAACTAAAGATCACAAACAGAAATTTGAGATGTAATCTCTAAAGATCAGCCTTAATTAAACATATGGCTGAAACACAATACTAATCCTTATTTACAAAGGATCATACTTCCCACTGATACTAGCAAACTTTCGCCAACAAATACAACATAAAAGAGAAAAGGCATCTGTGTAATGATAAAAGAACTTGAATTCATCAATGGAAAAGATAACAAACATCAAAATGTTATAAGCATCAAGTACTGAACAAATGTGGTAAAATTGAAAATCCAATGGATAATGAAAAATACTTAAGAATAACTTAGAATATAGAGAAAAATACAGAGCTAGATAGCACTCCTACCAAGAACAACGTATACATTATCCAATCTTCATCAACTTGTCTACGCAAATTACTTCTACACTGATTTTATATGAACAGAAAGTCCTCTTTTATAACTAAAACTAGAGATTCTTGCTTTCCAAATAATTTACCGTGAGGCAAGTATGCGAGATAGAGAATGGATAAGTTACCAAACATGAACTGTAAGTACAACTGAGCATAAAAAGTTAAAGAGCTCTATTCCAATTCCGCTTGTTACCAATGGATTTTATGTCCTGCAAAACACCAGTTACTATTTTATTTTGATCGAAGGTGTGCATTTTTTGTTTGTGCAATTAAATAAACTTTCGCTTGTGCCCTTAGGTTTTTCCCAATTTGGATTTATTATTGATATCTATATTCCCCGTGCTAAACAGAGAGTTCGTAAATGAGCTGTAAATGTTTCCGATGGTAATCAATTCGTGCAGAATACACTACTTCTGTTTGTGGCCCTTAGCTGTTTTCGATAATGACTAGAAGCAAAGAAAATCCTTTGCTCACGCAAATATATGTAACCCATAACCAAAGGCTCTAAATTATGAATCGCAGTTGATGAAAAGTCAAGTTGTTCCAGATTACCAAGATAAAAATGGACAATAAAATTGAACCTTCCGTGTACATTGAGTACTACTAGCAAAGCAGAAAAAGAAGTCAATTTCAACGAATCAGAAATAGAAAACTTCATATTCGAAGTCGCAAGAGTTTGAAGAAAAACATCGATGGGATGACTTAACCCAAAGGAATACAAAAGCTTCATCCCCAACATATTGACAAGGCGTGAAGGGGGGGAAGAAAAAGCTTTTCCGCTGCTATCAAGACCGACCTCAATAATTCGATCGCAAATTGCATCAGCTATTCCCCTGCCATGCTCCTTCTGGTCTCCCGCAATGATGGTAAGTTCGGTGATGATGGGCTTCGAATTTAAAGTAAGCTCGGATAAGACTATCTCGTAAAGTTGAACAATCTCATCGGTGGACGGCGGAAGCACATCGTCGTCGGACAAAGCCCTCTGTTCATCGTCTCGCTGCTTGAGCAGAGCCTTGAACCGTTCCAATATCGAAGAAGCAAGTGGCTTCGGAGCCATCTCATTGGGTATGGATTTTGCAGCGGCAGAAGGGAGCACTCGCCCAGGAGGGAAACCCAGGGGCCTAGGGTTTTCACGGGAAAGTAACAACCTTTGAGAGCCCATGGAGATCAGAGAATCCAGAGACGAAAGAAAAAGAAAAAGGGCAGAGTTGGGGATGGGATTAGGGTTAGGGTTAGGGTTTTGGCCCACCTCAACAGGCTGAGAAGTGAAGCAAGGTTTTTCTCCGCCACCATCGAAGGAGTTCAAACTCGGCGCCAAAGAAGTGGGGCGAAGCAGAGGGCACAGCAAAATGAGAGAGACGAATTGGGTTAGCGTCTGAGGATAGAGAGAGAGACACTGAGGAAATCCTTGTCTGAGAGTTCAGAACGGCTTCAATCTAACGGATTTCAAAGGAAGCTGGCCCCACTAGAATACCTGCGTGTCCAGATCCAATACAATAGTGTTGAGATAGGGCAAGGTGGCGCGAGGCCATACGCTATAAGGGTGCCCGTGTGAGTAACAGTGTCCGCCAAACATGTTGAATCAATCATGCAACTTGTTTACTTGATTAAAGTGTAAACAGTGAATTTTTCACTTCATAAAATTAGAACCCTTAACTGTTGATTAATTTTATCTCATAATATTAAATATTAAAAGTATTAATATTTTAATGAGATGTTATTGAGAAATATTAAACTTATTAATATTATTGCCAGCAATGGTGGTCTAATAATGACCTGATAGCTAATGAAAGTAATTAATTAAAATGGTATTTTGGTATTTTATATGGGTAAGAATTATCATTACTCTATTTATTTGTAATTTAGAGAATTTTTTTATTGACGTAATTTAAAAATTTAAACATTATTAATTTTTTGGGAAAACATAATTATTATTCCCTATAATTTTAACATGTTTGGTATAGGTTTCTATAGTTTTTTTATTTTATTTTAGGTCCTTCTAGTTTATCCCATATATAACATTAGTCTCACTATTTTTTAAACATGTCCAAAAGAATAATAAGTGATACTAATAATGTTAAATAGGCTTACTTGTGATGAATGTCATCAATTTTTGTATTAAGATGAAATTATACTTCAACTATTGAAACCTGAAATATGAAAGAGAACAAAGTGGACAACACTATTAATTTGTTGAATCATTATTCCATTCAACCTATATTAGCAGCCAAGGGTGGAGATGGGGGGACCAAGGAGAGTCACAGTCTTAACTTTTCTTATTATAAAATATAAAAGTTACATATTTTCAACCCCCTAGGCTAAGTTAGCATTGTAACATCCCAAAAATATTAATCTCAAATTAACCAAGTTAAAGGAGTTTAAGTTAGTAATTGAGGGTAATTAGATAAAATAGTATGGTGTGTCGTTTAAAAGGGCTAACAAGCCTATTGGGTTATAATGACAGCCTTAAGATTGGGTCCATAATGATAATAGGCCACTTAAGCCCTAAAAATGAAAGAAAATGTGAGAAAGGAGCCTCTGTGTCACACGTTACAGCGTGTGTGTTTTTTAGCTACGACGTAAAGGCTAAAATTAAAAAAGGTAGCCCTTTGTGCCACATGTCACGACACATGACTCCACAGTGCATGGTCAAAAATCCTAACTTATCAGGTGTGAGTCAGTTCAAAAAAAAAAGGAAATAGAGAGAGTTGATAGAGAGGGACGAAAAGCTTGAGGTTTGTTTTGCTAGGGCTTGGACTTTTCAAACATTAGAAATTTTTGGAAGCTTCTAAACACTAAAGGAAAGTTTTACAAGCCTTATTTTTCTTTCCTCTTCCTCTTTTGAGAATTTCTGAATTAGGGCTTGAAGATGAGAGTTGATTTTTCGACTCTAGAATCTATGGGTTTGAAACATTAACTCAAATAGAGTTAATGAAAGTTATTTCAGTGATTTAAACCCTAGAATGAGCAATAAATGTCTTTTTGGTGGTTGGGGCTATTAATATTCAAAAATCTGTAATAAATGTGATAGTTGGAGAAGTGTGATGCCATTTTTAATAATGGTATAGAAGTCCAATAGAGTTACTATGAATTAAAGGGAGTTAAGGAACATAATGGATATACTTAAGTACTAGAGAATTGGAGTCTTAAGTAATAGAAATGTTGAGTTAGAGTGCTAAGAATTATCCTAATGAAAATATTAATAATGGTTGATGTGGTTAAATTGTAGATTAAATATCATTGGCACCATTCAAGCTTGGAATAACTTGGAAGTTTATTATTGAAGGGTAAACTTTTGACATCTCAAAGGTTTGAGGTATTCAGAAGAAATCTTTTTTATGCTTTTATGTGTTAATTAGTTACTTTGATTTATAAACTATTATTGAAACTAGTGGAACTATTTATAATGCAAGTGTGGCATAATATAAATGTAAAACACATGTTGAGCATGACTTATGAGTTAATTGATAAGCTAAATGCATGTGTAAAATGTGTGGTATAATAATTGATTGGCAAGTCATGTTGAGAAATGACTGAAATTATGAGTAATTTGAGAAGTAGAATGATTAGTGGAATCATGTGCTATATTATGATGTGGAGTTTCATGATAAGTTGTAAAGTGGAGTTATGTGATGTACTGTGAAGTGATTATGTGCTAAAAACAATAATGTTATTAGGCATGTTAATTGTGTTGAGTTATATACATGCCATGAATTATTATACTTGTGCATTAAATGATCATGTGAGGTGACAGTTCGTTTAAGAAGAAGAGTAGTAAGTTAAAATCTACATGGTATGGTCGCCATTTAAAGCTTGATGGCTTACTTAGATATATTTATATTTATTGTCTCACTTGTTTGATGAAGGACTGCTATGATTTATTAAGGGATTCAAACCTAATATAGTCTTTACTTGTTCGTCAAGAAAGCTAGTTTAAGGAGAACAATGCACCATAGTGTGAGATTTTGAAAAAACTATGAATCATAAGTAAGTTAAGCAACCTTGGTTGGGTTACTTCTCACGCGTGAAAAACTAAGATAGTCTCATCACATGGACAAGCCCATTAAGTATAGCCTATAGTTTCATGTTGAAGGTATAAGGAGGATATAAGGGAAGTGGTAATCATGCATTTTGTTACTAAGAGTACATGGTTGTTTATATTATAACCTTTATGATAAAATTATGTGAATCAATTCTACATTTAGTCTTTTATACATGTATAGTGCTTGCTTCAATTCTTAAAGATGTAGCTATCATATAATATATTTTGCATTTGATAAAATAAATTATAAGAATTATTACTGATAAACTTTGTCAAGCATTGCAATAAAAATCATAAAATTAAGGTGAGAATTTCAATAAAGAACCATGGTAGAACCTTATTTACTAGTCAAGCCTAAACAATTTTAAAAATGCACTAAAGGATTTTGGGATTCAAGTGAAATAAAATTGTGAAGCCAAATGGCTGAAATGATCATACTAAATGAAAGGAAAAATAGTTTAAAGAATATAGAAGAAAAATTGCATGAAGTTGTTTAGCTCTAGCTCACCACACAGCTCCCCATTTCTACACCTTCTTTCTAAGAACAAAGTGATAAATCATGTAGTTAGCCATCTGTCTCCTTTTATGGATAGTGCTATCATTTAATGTTGTTTTGTTTAGAGTAATTTGTATGGATTTATGTATAGATTTTTTATTAGGTTAAGGAAAGAGCTTGTCTAATCATTTTAAAATGTCATCTCTATTGAGGTAAAGTTTGAACTTATCTTGCAAAAAGTTTTATCATTTTCATCTCAATTGTTAAATACAAATTTGTTATGGGTTTATAATGTGTGGCATGGGTATGAAACAAGTAGGTTATTTCATATAAAGAATTGTAAGCGCTTGTCTGATATAAACTATTCTAGGAACGTAATTATTGCAGAGTTGATAGGTTGAGGAAAGGTGCTATGTAATATCTCACTCCACTATATACAATTAACTAATATAACCCATAGTAATCAAAAGAATTAACTCAAAAAGTGATTACCAAAGTTTAATTCAAAAGCAAGGAATCTTAAATTTTTTATAATCATAAAGAATTTAAAACAATCAAGATCTCTTGTATCAGAGTAAAAATAAGTTATGGAAGCATGGGATACCTCAGAGGAGTGAAAGAAATCAAAAACAAGTGAAAAAAACAACTCTTTTAACGTGTGACAGAGCAATACGCTGTGACTCATGCACGCTGTATTGCTGCGTGTTACTCTCTGTGCCACGCACCACAGCTCAGCGCCATGTGCCGTGGTGTGTTACACGAAATATCAGCAGATTCCGCTGTCATTTAATAGCAGAATTGGGGAACTTTTGACACGTCTTGATTTTCCTAACATCCGAATGACGTGATCTAAGTATTTACGAAAAGCTCTTAACATGAACTAGCTTGTGTCATTTCCAAAATAAGTCACACTAGGAAGTTAGGCACCCAAATATATTTTAACCACCTTTCACAACTTTCACATAAAAAAGGTGTCTAAGAGCCTTTCCTAACACCTAGATCATGTCCATTGGACTTAAGACGACCAATACAACATGTCACACACATTTAAACCACAGTATAACCAAAATTCACTCCTCAACCCCTTTTTACCAAAAATATAGGGGGCAATTTGTTATTACATTGTATTAAATCAATCAAAACATGTTCAAATTATTATTTTTACACTTACACTAGTATTTTGGCCTTAAAAACATATATATATATATATATATCTCTATCTCTCAACATACACAAATACTCAAGGTCCAAAATATAAATCAGACATTTGCAATAACAAAATAGTGCAAGTATAATGGCATGCAACCTAAAATTGACAAACATATACTATTACACAAAATAAATAAGCTAGAAGCATACAAAAAGGAATATGCTAATTCCTAGCCTCTTGAGCCTTTTTTCTTTTTGCACCAGAGCTAGAGCCTAAAAAGTGTTAAATGAAATAGGTGAGTCTAATCATTCAGTAACCAAGGTAAAACCTACTCTATGCAGTTATATATCAATTATAAAACAAGCACATGCATATAAAACCAAGTACACAAGGCATGTTTGCACACATTATAACTCATCATTGCTCATTCTATAACATCTTTGTCTTAAATATACTAGGCACATTGTTGCCATATTCTCAAATATATAACCATAACCTCTTATTCACGTGACTTGCCACAACTCAACATGTGTGACACGTCATATATTTGTATAGAAAATGATTAACCAACCTTATATCCTTCTTATTTTTTCAGACTGAAATCGTCGGCTATAACATTGAATAGGGCTCCGTCCGTGTGACTAGACTACCCAGGCTCATTAATTGTGAGGTGTGACTCAGTTAAAAATCACATGACTCACTCTCAAACCATGGCTTCCTTCATTCTCGAATCTCTGAGGTGTCCATAACTTAGATTATTCTCCTCATTGAACCAG